GGCATCAGGAGCAACAAGGTTTGTGCAAGTTATTGCTGACATGTCTCCAGGACTGTCAGAAAAGGGCCCCATATTTTTGGAAACCCTAAATCCTATACATCCCTCTAACATGCCTGTTGCCCTTGAAGGGTCCCTTCATCAGACAAGGACTTGCATGGGATCTTGCATCATACAGCACGCTTAGAGACATGAGCTACAACCAACATCTCCTACATAATCTAATGGACGCGGGATTCCTCATTCGGGGCTATATAAATTACTGACTATAACTATACCCAACTGCAAGAGGGACCCCTATGTTCACTGTTAAGGGTCCCTTAAGAAGGCTAATACTGACAGAGCTTACATGGTTCTGAGAGGCAGGCTCTCTCTGCAGTTGCGGGGACGTCAGCGGTCTGGCCTCTTATTTGTACATTCGGGCTGTGAAGTACTACTGCAGCAGCGAAACGTACCGAAAAGCAATTACTGGTAGAGCAGCTTGACACTTGCCGCCACCAGGCTTCGGAGCCAGGCTTTGTCAAGGTGTCTGCTGAGGCCACGACATGGTTCTGACCTCAGGGCTGCTCAGCGCAAGCGTGCACAGGGCAACTTTTTCTGCAGACCCACCATGCTGCCCTAGTCCTTGCATGCTGCGTTCTATGAACACTTGCTGCATCGCTTTTGGCTTCATTGCTGCACTTGCGTTGGGGCTCGTTTGACGAGCCGGGTCGCATGCCGTGAAAGCAATCCAAATGATGGCTTACACAGAGAAAGGACTTGTCCGCTTCACGGATTCATGCCATGCCAGGCAAATGCCAAAGCCAAAGCAGCTGTGTCCATGATGCATGCAGATATCAATGTCAATGTTGTGCCCGGTGTATACCTTTCTTCGACTGTCTGTAAGCCCAAGTACCAACATCTCTACTTGCTGGGGCTACAGTTCGGGCAGTCTCCAGCACAGCGGGGTCCTTGAGGAACTTTGCTGCTGCGGAATACTCTGTCTCACGCTTCGTCTTGGCCACATCACCTTTGAACTCTTTCCCGCTCCACTCATAAGGAGCTCCAGACTTATAATATGCAATGCATGTCAGCACCGATTGCCAGCCGCCTTCGACTTCTACTGTTGCAAAGCGCATGCCGACGTCAGAGGATCCATGGAGGTGACCGTTCACGCGCCTGAATAAATTGAATTGGTAGAAGCATTGCTGCAGTGACTAGCGTTATTTTGAGTCAACCTATTTGCTGTGCTGTGCAAAAAACATCTGCAGAATCCACAGACAGTCTCTTGCCTACTACCTAAGGCCTAAGGAAGTGGACCAACATGGAACAACTCAGGGCCTGACTGGACCAAGTCGTTGATCACTTGCTTCGCATTTCGTCCGGGTGCCTGCAGGTCAATGCCCTGTGTGTTTGCCTTGATGGAGACAGGTGTTGAAGGCGGAGGCGCTGTGCTTGCTGTGCTCGTTGAGCTTCTGGAGCTTGCGGAACGCTTCGGAACATGTAGCTGAAAGTGAGGCTGGAGTCGTGTCTGCTGCTGGTGCTCCGCGAGTGTCCTGTCATGTTCAAGCCGCTCTTCTTGCGGACTCGTAAGCTGTCTGACGAGAGCCTCCGAAAGGAAACCAGGAAGGTGTCGTCGGTCTGAGGTGCCTTGGGATGAGCTGAAGTCTGCATGCGCCTGTGTCACCATGGGGTCGTAGTGCGCGCCAGGAGTTTCCGCTTCTCGTCCCAAGCGAAGTTGCTTTGGCATCCCTCCAGCAGTCGCCGAGGGATCCACAGGCCGCTTGCGAGAACTGGTCTCCATGATGCATCTTTCACATCAGTGACGGCTTTGCTTTGCTTCGGGAAGTATGTTATGAGTTATGAGACAGCAACATCACACAGACATGCGAACCAGCAAGTATGCACACGTGCGTCAACGACGGAGACTAGATTTAGTTAGGAAGGCTGCTTCGTCCATGCCGGGGCGTTGCCAAATATGTTGCCAGCAATACCTTGACTCGAGCTGTCGAAGATATCAGGCTTGCATACACGGTCCATGCATACGCCCACACTTCAAGCAAACATGCACCGCCACCGGCCCGACGTACCTGTCCCAAACATGCATTGCAAAAGAACGGTGTTCTACACGGCAAGCACGAGGGCCCAGCGGTTCGAAGAAGAGCTCCTGCGATTGTTGGGGGGTTGGCTTCGTTGTTGCCAACCATCCAGCTAACCCGCAAGGCTCTGTTCCGATGTTTTGTAAAACCGAAGACACTATCAGTCAACGCAGCGGGCTGTGTTGCCGCAACGGCGCACCTCCGCATCGTCAGCCCAGCGACCACCCACGTCTGACCTGATCAAAGAGGTCCCCTGCTCTTGAACTTCTGGACCGACATACAACCATCGAAGATGGTCAGAAACTGAAGGCATGATTCAAGAATTGAAGCCATTTGGATTGGCACAAGAAAGCTTCTCACCCCCCCCACCCTTTCGTTCCCATCATTTCCATCAGCAATTCTCTTCGATGTTGCGTCGTGTGTATGCGTCTATGTCTACATTTGAGCAGCATTCTTTAGTGGTTGACGCCAGTAAGATTATATTCCTTTTATAAAATACGAGACCCGAGGGCAGGACATAATCTTACACTACATGGGTACAGTGGTATCCCCAAATAAAATACTATTCGTTTCGGTGTGTCCTGGACTTGCAGGGTGTCTCGCAATGACCCAACTGCCCAAAGCCAAGCACATGCTGGAACCATTACCAGGGAACCCCAAAAAGATAGTGGGAGTATAATGAACATCTTTATTGGTATTACAATTCTTTTACTGTTATTACTATGATTACTATTATTACTGATAGTACTATTATTAAAATTATTACTATTAGTACTATTGGTACTACTATAATGGGGTTTGGGTTTAATCTTGGACTGCATGATGCATTCAGGATCTTAAAAACGTCAAGGCAGGCGTGTCTCAGTTTTGTGAAAGCCTTTCCAGCCTTTTGATTGCAGCGCTGCCCTACCCGCAACGCCACATGAGACCCTAAGACATTGGACAGGCAACAGCTGATGCAGCGGCGCAACCTTGCCACATCACTCACGAAGACAAAATTTCGCACAGTAAACTTGATAGGCGGCGAATGCACCGGTCAATATGAGCTATAGTCTTAACTCCTAGTATCCCCTTTACAACCCCCATAGTATCCCTTTCAGGAGTTCAAACTATAGCTCATATCAAGGCATGCAAAACGGAATTGGGAATACTCTCAGGGCTGTGCAGCACCCACGGACCCTGGCAGCCAGGACCCTGACAAAATGCGTGGCTTGCGCAAGTGCTCAAAAACTCGGTCAACGAAAGGACGGCAACGTCTGTTTTCTTGGCATCCGGCTTTTGGGTCTCTCCAGGTGCTGGGTGCCTGAACACAAGCTTGGGAAAGAAACTCTGCAACAGTTGCCCGAGCAAAAGTGCGCAACACGCGAGGCTCCAGTTGGTCTAGTTTAACATGTTCCCTTTGGAGGGCCTTGGCGGCCCTAGAGTCGCATCATGTGGCATGGAGCTCTTCAGCTCAGAATGTCCGTGCACAGCCGCGCGTTTTCAACTCCATGTCATATTGCACCGCCCAAAACCTACCGTGCTATGCCGCACCAAAACTCCTTCATTTGCTTATGGCAGCACATCAAGTGTCTCTGCAGGGTTCTGCTTCCACATTGTGATTCTCGCGTCGTGTTGCTGATATTGCTTCACCAACATCGACCTGTTCAATAGCCGGCAGCGATAGAAATGTGACCCGCGCGATTGTTCACCAAATCTGCCTTGTTACGAGTACGTACTACGAACAACACCTCCTCAACCCTTGAAGGTTCTTGAAGTACGAACACGAGGGGCTTCTGAGAACGCGTACGACTATTGTTGGAGGCTGATGTGTGTCTCCCCTACCCTGGATCTCTAGGCTGTCTCCAGCCAAGCCCTTGAACATAAGCCTGGAAGCGATGTTCATTCCAAGCCTGGTCCTTCTCCAAGAAGACAGCCTTTGCAGGAGCCCCCTTTCAGAAACTCGCAAGGGCTCGAATTCACACTCTTTTCTCTGTAGAGACATTACACCCCAAGATATAACCCCAATATACTAGAGCAATTTGTGTTTTCTTGTCCGTGATCCCTAAATAACCCCAATATACTATAGTAGTTGCAATTTTTCCATGATCCCCATATAACCCGAATATACTACAGTGTCTATTTTCTCTTCCATGATCCCTATATAACCCCAATATACTATAGTGGTTTCCATTTTCTTTTCCATTATTCCTATATAAGCCATATACCCCAATATAATGTACATGTACATATACACGTACACATACATATACATATACATATACATATACATATACACATACATACATACCTACATACCTACTTATATACGTACCTATATACCTACCTACCTGCCTACCTACATACCTACATACCTGCATACCCGCATACCTACTTATCTACGTACCTACATACCTACGCACCTACCTGCCTACATACCTACCTACCTACCTACCTACCTACATACCCACCTACATACCTACATACCTACATACCTACCTAAATACCTACATACCTACACACCGACCTACATACCTACATACCTACATACATACACACATACCTACCTACATACATACCTACCTACCTACCTACCTACCTACATACCCATCCATCCATATATACATACATACACACATACATACATACATACATACATACATACATACATACACACATACATACATACATACACACCCTCAATGAAGTGCTAGAATTCGCGTAGAACGAGTCTGGCCTCAATCGCGGGCAAATCTTCCTCCTCCGCAGGACCCACATGCAATTCGAACAAGCACATGAGGGATTCTTCCAAGATATTTTCAATGCGAGCCATAGTCTACACTCCTAGCCTCTCTTAGATCATTGTCCCCTACATAATCCCCACTGTGTTTGAACCCCTTTAAGGAGTTTAGACGATAGCTCATGCGAGGATTCTGTTTGGGGATTTCAAGGGGCTGCTATGAGATTCGCCTGAGACCAGATGTACTCCACCAGATCTGGGACTGTGGCGTAATTGAATGTGAGCGTGTGGTTAATGCCATCCACGGAAGCCTGGCGACGCAAGCAAAGGAACCCGGCATCTGAAATCTGACTATAATGTCCTGGTTGTCAGGGTTGTCAGTAGGGAATAAGGGAATAACTATATAGGGATTATTTATACGGATTATACATAAAGACCATATTCCCTTATTCACGACTCAGCAGTAAGATAAGAATTGCGGACAACGCGCCTGAAGGCTGTTGCGGAACTCCACGCCTGCCGTGGACTGGAGGCCCAGCTGCATGAGCGGTGTGTTCACATCCAAGTCGTCTGTGCCCAAGGTATCTGCCAACGAGTCAACTACCAAAGACCTCACGTCCTCCATGCTGCAGGCAATTGCCTCCCTAGTGCTGGTCTCGGCAACACTGAACTTGCTGAGGAAGCTTGGCACACGAGGCAGCTGTGCTAAGAGATTTGACCACTGGATTCTGGCTACGGCCAGGATGGGGGTCCTCAAACTGTTGGGCCGCCGAGATCGCTCCCATGGCCTGCACCAGGCCCTTAGATCGCAGGAGGTCCGAGGTGTCAGCAGCAGCGAGGAGATTCACGGGCTCTTTGTCATCGCTTGCCTCGCTCGGGGACTGTGACCATTCTGACCAGTCCATGTCGTAGATCTTCTGGTCTTCTTTGGTCCCCTGCATGGCGATGGCCATCTGAATCTGTTCGGGCTTCACAGCCCTGAAGACCACGTCCTCCATGACATGAGAAGCGCGCCGTCATCTGCGAGCACAGAGACGTTGAAGGTCTGGAAAGACTCCAAGGATTCCGTGATCCGCAAATGCACCCAGTAGCCTGAGAACCTGGAAAAGCTCTCCTGGCGCGCAACTGCCACCTTGCCAACACCACCAAAGATCTTCAAGCCACTCACATTCTTCCCAATAGATGAATTGCCTCGCCACAATTTCCGGGCAACTTGAAATATGGGGCCCAGGTACAGGCCCACGGAGTGGATGGCCTCGCAGCCGATTTTCGTCTCCACGGGCTCCGTGATGCGGCTGAAACTTGCAAATCTTCGGGCTCTGGGAGCTTTGGAGTCTTGTCTCCTGTCATGTGGATCTGGAGGGTTTACCATCATTCTATGGAAATGGTGGGAGTTTCTGAAAACAAGCCCTTAAGGCAACCCCAATGTTGCTCGAATCAACTCTTTCTGGTTGATGCGCATGTTCGTCCCTGTCAAAACTGCGCACTGTGGAGGGGGTAGTGAGACACGGGTTAGTTGCATGGCCCTCAGTTTCTCGACCTAGGCTGTTATGCAAATAGCCAAATAGCGCTCCAAGAAGAGCAGGACACTTTGTGGCTGGGCATGGCTAGGATACTCTTCTCTTAATAGCTGGGACGCTCCGGGGGTTGGCTACTGAAAGAATGCAGCTGGGCATTCCAGAAAGCTGATTTTCACACAGCTTAGTCAGCAGATGTCTCCTGCACCCTCTCCGCGGCATCTTCCCCGGGGCGAAAGCCTTGCAGCAAATTCAGCACGGAGGGGTTGCTTAACCGCATTGGCCAACGGGATCCCGGCATCCAGGGGTTGCTGAAGCTGATGAAGGTGGCGGGGCTGGCAATGACCTGAGCTATAGTCTAAACTCCTAGTATCCCCCTTAATAACCCCTATTACAGTCCCCTATCTAGTCCCTTTTTTGAACCCCTTTTGAGGAATTTTGAAGAGCTTAGATTATGGCAATCACCTTGACAGGCAGAGTGTGGAGCTCGGGAGCT